TTCCAGGAGCACATGGAATCACATAAAGAGGTCGAAGGTGGTGGAGTCTCAGAAAGTAGCACATAATGTGTGCGGTGTGTTAAACCTAGTGGGCGAACTCAATTGCAAGATTGCTTACCAAGGTGTGGAAAAATCGGGAACATGTTACATTTCAGACCGGCCGAATTTGAAGCTTCTTGGCCTCGACTGGATTGAAAAGTCGAATATCCTCGATGTTCCCTTGAATCAGAGCTGCAACCGAGTTCGAGCAAGTCAAGGCAAAGTATGTCGAAGACAAGATACATACCCTGAAGCGAAAATTTGCTTCCGTCTTTCAGGATGGCTTGGGCCATTGTACGAAATTCTAGACAACACTTAACTTGCGACCAGGTGCTAAACCAGGGTTCAAGGCTAAAAGACCGGTATCATACGCAGCCATGTCAACCGTTGAGCAAGAAATCGATCGACTGCAACGTGCCGGAGTCATCACAGCCGTCTACTACTCATCATGGGTCGCACCTATTGTCGCAGTGACGAAAGCAAATGGCAAGTTACGCGTTTGCGCTGACTTCTCAACTGGCCTCAACGCCGTGCTGGACGACCACCAGTACCCATTACCTGTAACGGAAGATATCTGAAAAGCTGAATGGTGGTAAGTACTTTGCTAAGCTTGACCTATCCGATGCTTATCTTCAAGTGGATGTTGACGAAGGCTCGAGGGAGTTGTTGACGATCAACACCCCAACACCACGAGGACGCCCGGATTTCGTCGCGGAACATCACCCGAATTTCTTCGTAGGATAGGGACCGTGGACTGGAATGCAGTGGAGGGGATGACACCACCCAAGCGCACCCTCGGGTCTGCAGAGAAAGGAATGTTCTGTCGGGCTTTTATCTGGACCAGCAAGTGTTTTTTGAAGTCCGACAAGCCCACCCCGACGGCCCAACGAGGACGCACTCTGGTCCACAAGATCACCAAAAATAATCAATAACAAAAGCCTGGACCCAGCGAACTCCGCTACACACCTCGTCTTGGAAGTCCCTGTTCAAGCCCAAGTAACTATTCCCACTCATCCTCACCTCCCATTTTCCCGCACTAACAGCCCCATCGAAGGCTTCCAACCTTCTAGGAGAAGGCCCTTGTAGTGTCATGGAAAACACATTCTTTAAGTATTTTGCAACACTGGATTTCACCGTTGTGTTAACCTTCAAAATGTCCACTTGCTTTACTGACTGCACATCCGTTGACACCAAGCGTTTTGGCGAGAACCTTGCTGCACCGTTTCTCGCTCTGGCTGATTCGCTTCATAGTTTTATAGCCTGCACAATACATGCTGGGTTCAGGTAACTCCAACTTCTAGACTGTCTCCTATTCGACATGGCTTTTACGTGGCACTGACTACCGACTAGTACCCCACGCTCTACTCATCAATAAATTAAGCGCATGCCGTAACCGCTTGACTGATCCCCCGTTTGCTTGCGGCATACTGATAAACTTACCTTAAATATTCACCTTCACCAAGAACTCAGGTGGCTGTCTGCGTTCAGCTGCATGCGAGTAGTTCGAAAAGTTTGACACACAATAAAGCTGTGCTCAACTTCGAATCGTGCTTACCCTTCCCTACTCTCCGGGAGAAAGTAAGAATTGCCTTGGAAAGCCACTATTTTAGCGACTAATCGATTATTAACGATTATCGCATCGATTTCGAACGTTCCCGAATGTTCTACTTTGCACGTGATTAAAAGCCACCTGACAGCTCGGCAAAGGATATGGGGAACCACTAACCTTGGTAGCTGACCTTCCAATCCTAGAAGTCGAAGGTCAGTAAGGGACCTAGAAATACAGCCAAGGGCCACAGTAGTTATACAGTGTTCGTTGAAGGCGATTATACGTTATTTGTCAAGGTCATTGGCATTTTGCTTTTTCCTTCGGTTGGGCTAGAACTTTTGTGGAGCAGAAAATTGTTATTTTTGGAATTGCGTCTAGTGAGAAGATTATAACACCTACGTTGCTGCCGAATCGAATACGGTTGTATAGCCAGCTTGGCGTATAAACGTAGTACTAGCTTTAGTTTAGATAACTATTTCTATTTCGTGGCTTCTGCCCTCCCACCGTACGTCGAGGATGATTTGGACGATACATCAGAACTTTCCGACCAACAGAGACTATACGAAACTATCCGGGCAGCAGCTTTGAAGCGATTCAATATATATCGGTCCACGAATGCAATTTAGAAGTCCTTGGCGACGAGCAGTTCGACAATTTGAAGCCATCCCGACTTCTTCGAAAAATACAAAGCCCCAACAAGTTAACTGCACTAGATGAAAGTTCGACAAGGAATTGTGGCTGCATCGGCCACCGAAAGATATCGACATCTTGTGCGTTACTCCAGATACCGCGCTAGTGCAAGCCGCTGAGACTGCTGACAGGAGCTTGGACCTTCGCGAGTGGTACCGTCCTGAACTTCCAACCGTGCTCGTCCTTCTGTGCGCTGTTACGGATTCGAACAAGATCCCATAGCTAGCCCGGTGCATCGGTGGCACCTTAGTCTTGACATAAACATCCTGTTTTACATAGGCCACCTGAGCCTATAGCACTGGTTATTCTGATTTACCAGCGGTTGTGGCGATTGGTTGCCTTTCTCAACTCGCTTTAGAGGTAACCCTCGTCTTCGTCCCTACAATGTACTTCGCAATTCGCAGTGATACTGATAAAGGCGGAAAATGTACCCACTATGGTGCCTAATGCAAGTGTTGACTTAAATCTTGCTCAAAAATACCTGAAGATCAACACAACCCTAAACAAGTGACCAGGTTGGGAGATTACGATGCTGTCTGTGAATCACGTTCTGCAAGTTCTCTAGCGAAAGAGAGTGGATTCCAGTCCGGAAGACGAGATGATTCAACGGTGCCCGATTCAATCCTCAGCGACATCATTACTCCCTGCCAGATCAACAAACGACCACTCCGAATCCTACCGATCTGACGGCGTGTACACAGAACAAAGTTATTTTGGGCAAGCGAGCTGTGGACATAAACATACAGTCAATAGTTTTGAGTTCTGACGGTAGAGGGAATAGATGCTAAATTGCCGAAATGTCAAAAACTGACCAGTGTTGTAGTTGAAAAGCACGAGGTCATAAATTGTGCACAGACGAATGGGACTAAGGTGAGATGAAACAGCTGGTTGTACCTACCCCAAACATCTGAATACGACCCTCATGGGTTAACAGCATACTTAATACCAATCTCTGCTGAAAGGTTTTGACACACTTATTAGCCCACCAGTTGGGAGGCCAATCGATAACTCTGATAGGAATTTTCGGGTTGTAGATGCAAGACAGGGGGAACGCGAAAGTAGGTGTCTCCATGTTTTACCACGGAGCCGCAATTTTGGAACGGGGCCAGTGATAAATACCGTTTCACTAGTGCTATGAAGACGTTGCTCTATGTGGGAACTGGAGATCAAGTGATTGGAGATTTTTGCACGCTAAGGATTCACGCAGTATGGAGACAATATATTATGAGCACAGTAGCTCGAAGCAGTGTGATAAAAGGGCAACAAAGAGACTGCGCTATAGAGGAATTCTGCTTGTAGAAGCTGGAGATTAAAAGTCAGCAACTTCAAATAGGAATTTCCCGCAACAGAATTCAGACTAAATGCCCCGAAAAAGCATACTTCTCGGAAGATGAAGAGGCAACAATGTTCGATTGCGGTATGACAGCTAGCAGTCTAGGGAAAAGGACTGTACCGTTGATCAGGATATGCGACAAAGTGCCCATGCGATCCAAACGGCGGAGAATTCAACCGCTGGTCTGACATTTGTCACGCTAGCTAGGATTTTAGAAGATACGATACATGGAAAAGTTCAGCAGAAGCAAGGCACGGTACTTTGGTTGATATTTGAAAGAAAATAGCCAATACCGTGTCGGTGAATCACCTTGGCGACTTTGATAGACCGAGTGGAAGCTAGCTGTTCAAAACACCGAGGTTTCGACTTCGTCTCCGGAGAGATTTTAGTTAACGATTGCTATACTTAAGCAGACAACGTCCAGCGACCTAATGTAGACAAACGGAACCCTGACGCTTGGTTGTCGAGTGAGATATTCGCAAACACAGGCGAAGAGCGTGAAACAGATCATGGGAACAACAAAGAAGCCTTCGTCCCGCCCAAACGTGTGGAGCCCACCTTGTTCATTCGGCAAGTAGTGCCTACCCCTCGTTGCGGCGCAATAGCTGTTCCCCACTTGCAGCTAAGTGCATGATAATGACGACCGACACCTCGTCGCCACGAGACAAGCACCACTAATGGCATGTGGGACAGGGCAATGCGAAACCAACAGAGCCAACGCAAATTCGAACTGCGAATGTAAGGATTACAAGGCAGACACCTAACCCTTTCAACTATCCGCCCATTTACACAATACTCCACAAAACTCAAGCGATGCCTCGCAGGCACAAGCGAGAGGAGAAAATTCTAGAACACAAAGTGCCAATGCTTCCGTACCGCGCAGCTAAGAATGACCCACACAGGCCGTTGACACAGACAAGTGGCTACAAAGTTGAAAAAGCACACGATCATTGTCTCGACATGTACAGTAACGCCATTGGTGGCACGATCATTTAAATAGGTGAACTAATCGGTGTCCCCACAAGTGACTGTGACGCGATCATGAGCAGATGTAAGGTTCGAGTATGCCACGGCACCGTGTATTCAGAGGGTGCGAAACGTGTCGTGAAGTAGCTCGCTACCGCTGCTCTTCCAACGAATAGGCATACTGACACCAAAAGTGCTGCTTGAGTTCTGGTGTGACAGGGTGCCGATGGAAGAGAAAAAGGCATCAGCAATACGCCAACACACAGTACCGACGCTTCGCTGCCGCGCAACCACCACCGGTTGCACGTAGGCTAAGGATCTGCGATGGTCGCCTGGTTTCTACGGAGGCTTGAACCAGCGCAATCGGATTGTATGGCAGGCTTGTGATCCTTAAGGCTACAGGCCGGAAAAAATAAGGAACGCTTCACGATTTTGCACGTCATTCTTGCGCGGGGGCTGTGTGGTTTCAATTGTAGTATAGGTACCGCCGAAGCGAGTACAGATGGAACAGAAATAAAAAGACAGAGATTGATGAATGAATAAACCGGATTTCCAAACGTATTGCAACTAAGCCATTAAAATGCAAGGCGCCAATATGTTTTCCAGTGGGTGAGACAATAAGATAACAGAACACTCAGAAGAGTCGAGTATATTCCACGTAGGAAAGAATACCGTATAATATAGAAAGTATCAGACTAGAGCAAGGAGAAAGGGGCGATGTGGTAGAGAAAAGTACAATACAAACGCTTGTCAGCTAGATGCAGGAAGAAGTCCACTGACCACGTTTTCGCCCAACACAGCAGTCGCAACCGATACTGTGTCCAGCCGAGTGAGCTGAAGGCGATAATGTCCATCTGCGGACAGCGTGTAGTTAAAGCGCACGTGGCCTGTGGGACGATTCAGCTGGTGATCTCGCATTAAATGCTTGGATAGATCAAAACCTGTGGGAGAGAAAAGTAACAGAGGATATTAGTAAGTCTGAGAGAGAGGGAAGGAAGATGGCAAACACACCGAACCCCGACGACGTTGTGCGGAAACCTGAAAAGAAGCTGTCCCCCGATGTAGTCCCTGCATCACGTGACCACGTCTTGTCAACCTGTGATGTTATCAAAATGCATAAGGGTTTGCCCTGAATGCGCATCATGGCGTCTAGACTTCTTTCCTCAAACATCACTGGTCATGCAGTCCCCCAGGATATGGTTGTATGGCAGCCCTGGTCCAGAACTACAGCGGTCGTGGAATTGGTCCAACCTGCACTTCCAGCAAGGAGACCGGTTACGTAAAACGATAAGACACCTAGGAAAACAGTGACCTGAAGCTACTGAGGGCGAAAAGTGCTCATCAACGATCCAGCACATCAATATATCTGCTTCACGCTTCCTTCAGTAGACATAAATCAAACAGCGAGGGAACGGGTAAACAAACTCAGTTAAGATGGTTCCACCATGAGGATACTTTGGAGCCAAAGGGTAAACTGAGTTGGAGAATGAATAATAGGTTGCAATCAATGTTCACGCTGAGCTCCAACAACAGGCGACAGCTGTTTAAAATCTACATGGACTCTGATGTTCTTTAATTCTGCTATAAGATGCTAGAGGCATGGCACTGAATCCACAAAAGATATCAAATATTATGCTGGCAACTCGTCAACAATGATCAACAACAGCAGCACATCAGCCATTTGAACTAATGCTTCGCTGCCATACAACCATGAGGACCTATGAAATAAAAAACAAGAGGGAGAGAAAGGGGACTCCCAGGAAAACCTTAATGCCCGAAGCAAACATTCAGGGACAAGGCGTCTACACCTCGTGAAGACAACATACTGTCACAAATAGCTGGCTATCGTACAAAGCTAAGGCGGTATCGGCGAGACAGCTTCCCTGCGGCTTTCACTGCCCCGCGTCCTAAACAGCCATTACCCCGCAGATAACTCTGCACCAAACACACTTTAAACAGGCAATCCGATTAGGAGACGGCAGCAGACGCGCCACTGGTGTCGGTTGCGAGCCATGTCCTGTAAAGTCTCGAGCCAAGCACAAGGCGAGTCACGTGGATTCCAGCCCGGAAGACGAGACGGACCAGCGGCACCCAGTTTGGTCGTCAGCAATTACATTTCCCGCTGCCAAGCCAGCTTCTGTCTACCTCGAACCTTGCGGCACCCTACACCAGGCAGAACAAACAAGGCCCTCCTAGGTAAGCGGTGACCAGGCATACGTAGCACGTGCCTGAGCCAACGCTACTTATTCAGTGCTATCTGTTGTTCTAGGGAGCTTACATGATTATCACTACCTAGTACTCGCCTACGCACATCATCGTTGTGGACAGGCTGGTGCCATCCGACACCAGCAACGTTCCACACACAACGATGATCAAAGACCAGAAGGCGCCTCAGATTTGCAGACCGAAGAGGCCAAGTATCACTACCATAGAGCAGAACGGCCCTCACTATGGCCTTGTATACACGGCCTTACAGACGAAGGGAAATTGCCTTCTGTCGGCAAAGATGCCGCATGTTCAAGAAGACAGCTATGGCCTTTGTAATGCTTGAGCTGACGTCAGTTTCTATGCGCCCATCGTTGCTGATGCAGCTGCCAACATAAGTGAATTGATCAACCACCTGGAGTTCCTCGTTAGCAAAGGTCAAGGGGTCCCCAAGTGGCTGGTGATCCTGCAGCAACGCTTTGCACTTCGAAGGTGCGAAGTGCATACCAAATATTGGGACCACTCTAGATAGTCTACTCAGGATTGGTCATGCCGCCACAACATCGTTGAAAAGCAAGACGTCAGTATAGTCAAGATCAACTAATCTTTCACCAGGCAGCACTTCAACGCCTACATCATGAGATTCCGCAAGGGAACACTCCATGATAGAATTCACAAGGAAATTGAACAAAAATGGGGAAATCGGACAACTCTGACGAACGCCACTTGTAGTCGGAAACCTAACCGATAGGCCACCGTAGACCCTGACGCGGCCTGTTGTCTTCCAGTATATAGCACGAAGGATGTTCACATACTGCGTGGGAACACCTTTGGGCGCAAGTATTTCGAACAGAATGCATCGATGGACTGAATCAATCGCACTCTTGAAATCAAGAAACACAGCTATTGTCGGGTCTGCGGTATGTGTAGCGCTGCTCTAGTACCTACCGCCCTGGGCGGAAACCAACCTGCTCTTTCCTAATCAGAGATTCCCATTCCACCGTGAGGCGACGAACGAGCATCGAGGTCAGTAATTTTGCCACAACTGGCGTTAGGCTAATACCCCTGTGGTTCGCACAGTCTGTGCGACTGTTCTTCTTGTATAGTGCCACTATAATCGATTCGCTCCAATCAGCCGGGACGCTTCCTCGCAGATACGTTCAAATAGGGCGGTCAATGCTTTGCAGAGGACCTCACCTTCATCCTTAAATAGTGCAGGTAGGAGGAAATCCAGACCAGCGGCACGAAAACGATTAAGGGCTGTGATCGCGTTTCGGACCTCAGCCTACGACGGAGCATCTAAGCTAACCGTCCATGGCTTGTCCTGCATCAACTGAGTAGGGAGAAGTCCGGGAGCAGGGGGCCAGCTGAACTGATCTTTAAAGTGTTCCAGCCAATGAGCCATACGGCGCTCCTTATTGTGTATCAGTGCACCCGCGCTGTCTATGACTGTCTCACTGACGCCTGGTTTCCTGGGACCAATGGTGCGGATCAGCTGGAAACGCTTGCGGCAATCACCTACTGCTCCTGCCTCCACAATTTCTTGAACCCTATTGGTCCACCAGGCTGCGTTGTCAGCACCTAAGCTCCGCTTTAGTCCGCGCATAATAGCGCGTCTGGTCAGATCGTGCTCAGCGCCAGCCTGGAAGTTTCTTCCAGATTCCAACAGGTTCACCGACCTCTCGGATATCCAGTGAACGGTGAGGTGACTACTGATAGTGCCACAAGCAGATGCACCTGCATCTGCATGTGTCCGGGATCCTACTCCGCTGAAGCTCAATGTCATTAGAACAAGACAGTTCGGTGTGCAGTGCATCTTGATAGGGATACCTGACCGAGGGCTGACAATTTGACAGTTACCAATCGGGGGGGGGGGCACTTAGTGCGCCTCCCGGTCAAGTTCATGGAGAAACGACAGCGTACCAAAGCATGATCAGAGTCGACACACGTACTCCAGTACGAGCGGCAATCCAGGATGGAACCACGCCATCTGTAACTTATGGCTATGTGCTCAATTTTGGTCCATCGCTGGCCAGCTACAGGTGGACGCCAAGTAGCACTTCTGCGTCCACTGTATCTAAAAGCAGTGTTAATAAGAAACAACTGGTACCCCGCACACAGTTGCAGCAGACATTCGCCGTTGTCAGTCCGTTCGGAGTTAAGCCCACAATTACCACCCAGGTGAGCTACTGAAGAGCTCAGACGCCCTGCTTGTGCGTTCATATCCCCTGCAAGTACTATAATATCTGAACTAGTAGCACTGCGTAGTAGCGCGTTCAGTTCATGATAGAATGTGTTCTTGACAGCATTTGAACTGCAGTCGGTGGGAGCATAAGCGGAAACCAAAAAGAAACAGCGTTCTGTACTACTTCGTGAATCAACCTTGGTTGTCGTCGTCAAACGGGTTACACATAAACGACTGTTCATCGTAATCCAATCAACCAACGATGGCTCAGCCTTGGAGCTTAGAATGATGCCTACAACAGCTTGACCCGTGAGTGCTGCATCGGCGTCTCAGGATGCGTGCAACCAATAACGAGTGGATAAGCCAGGTGCAGTTAATTCAACAACCGCATAAGAGTCATTTACCCTAGTTTCGTACACACAAAACACATCAATACCCAGTGTGTCCAAGATGCGTGCGAGTGCAGCCTGTTGACCTATTTGTTTTAGAGTGCGAACGTTGAACGTCGTCATGGAAACGGGACAGCGTGGCCTTATAAGGGACTGTTGCCGATAGGCGTCCGGTGCGTGTCGCGAGGTGGCTGCAGATGGTTCTACTCCAGTGGCACTTCGGTTGCTTCCAATTAAGCTGGGAAGTATAGAAGGAAGGTTACTAGCGGGGGGCGGAATAGAAGGAAAACAGGTGGAAAAGAAAGGAGCTGCCAGCATTAGCATGCTTTCGCTTCTGCGCCCTGCGGTATGCAGCAGACAAGGCGACCCTTGATAAGCTGCGCGACGGCCAATGCAGGAAGAAGTTTATATTTGAAGAAAAAGTCATGATTATATGTGGAGTGGAATACTGTCAGGGCGCCCAGACCTAGACAGGAGGACGATTAGGGTCCTCATCCAAAGCCTGTCCGCAAGGCAGCGGGGAGGTGGCAACGATTTAGTTTTACAGAAGTGGACGCCATCCCATTTCAAACCCCCAACCTGGAGGACCAGGAGACTGAGTTTGTCTGACCTCTCACCATTGACCAACCTGGTAGAAGTAGCTCTCAATGTGAACGGAGGCACCACCCAGTATAGCTCAATGGGTCAAGGAGGTATGCAAACCGTCACACCACGTTAAGGTTCAGTCTCGTTGCGACGGAAACGGACGCCATCCCCTTTCAACCGCCCAACCTGGAGGACCAGGAGGCTGAGTTTGGTACCTCGTACCAATGTTTCTATCCTACACAACTACCGGTAGCCGCGAGAGGGCTAGGAAAACTGGAAGGTCGAACTAGCGACATGAGAACTGTAGGCCAGAGACTTGAAGCACTTAGCCACCGGTCGATAGACGCGTTAAAATAATTTTAATAATACGAACAGTTCCTATAGGACAGGTCTTTCTGTATAAGTAGTGGCTAGTCGGGAAAATTCGGTTACAAAGTGACCAGGCAAAGTTTTACAATTAAATCCCAAGTAACTGATCGGGCAGATCACACAATGATCGGAAGTGTACCGAAACTGGCCGTGCAACATCAAGCCAATACTGTCCACTGTATAGAGGCAACGTGCAGAGCAGTGTGATGAGCTGTGCTACACAACAGCACAAAAACTAATTCAAGATGAACTCTGCCGACTTGTATCGCTCGGTGGTGTAAACCACTTCCATACGAAACATGATTCGCAGTAATCCACAATTCTAGTGGGTTTCAGTGGGAGAAAATTTTAACAGAGGTATAAAATTCACGTAACACATCCACCGTATTGCAATGCGGAAATAAAGTAATGCTAAATTGATCAAACACCCACGTAGCAAGTTTTCAATCCCAGTCATGATAAAAAAAGAATCAAATAGTTTCACGAAAACCATCTACCCAAAGTGTTAGTGCCGCACTGTCTAAGCTATGGTTGCGACTAAACCTTTGTAACGCTCCTCGAACAGAATCGTTTTTGTTTCAACGTGAACAGTAACCGGAAGTATAGATGGTGGAATTCAAACAAGCGAGTGGGTGCAATGCAACCAGTGTCGCAAGCGTGCGGGCAATGGCACAATTACACAGGAAAATGGAGTTGCTGCATCCCTAAAATCGTGCAGGCAGTCACTAAACGCCGAGCAAAAGCCCAACTAAACGATGAGCTACACCGGAGCGCTCTGGTAAAGAACTCACACATAAGTCAAGGTTTTGGTTGTAATATAGACTTCAGATCACGAGAAGAACACAGAACCGCCGCAAACCGCACCTTCACACAGCCGAATTAAACCACAGAACCTCTCGAGAAAACAATCGAACATCGAGCTGCACCGAGTACAGTTGCAGTGGCCCATTACCATGATAACAAGGATAAGAAGAACGTAAGTACAAAAATTCAGGGGTATGGTGAATTGACACCGGGGTCGCGGTGCTAACAGCCAGAGAGGGTCAGTGTAACCGCGAATGCCCCATGTCGGATAAATTTTCCAACACCGATATCACGAGAGACGGCTCATGGGAAGTGTCTAAACCGAACAACCTCCCCGTGGTGCCAGCTGGGTGGTTCGGGTTTACTCCGTTGCAGCAAATAGTTCGGCGGCAGTGTTCCAGGAGCTGGTGTATTTTCGCCTGGCAAGCGTTTTCCCAATAAAAAGCCACAAATGTCCGTTTGACAACACTGTGACGTGGCAGATGTGACGCCACTAATTATAGTCACTGTCTCTTACGTATCCGGATGACCTAACCCAATCCACGGACGTGGGTCATCTAATACGAAGAGTTCATTGGACTCCTCACGCCAGTCCGAAAACAATCACAAACACGGCGTTACATTCACAAATTTAGGCAACACAACCACGGCTGAAGGCATCCAGTTCCGAATGAGCCCATTACTGCGGCCTCCTTAGGACAGCTACAGGACGCCTGCGCCTACAGAGGGACCATGGATGGATTGTGATGCACCACCCACAGCTCTATTCACACATTCCATATCCAGTTCGAACCCGAAGGAATAGGACCGAGAAGCATGTGGATGGGAGCCACGCTACAAAAACGAAGCCGGCCCACACTCATACAACATGCTCATCAGCAGCAGTCATGCCTATCTGTGTACGGAACCGTGCATACCAGACGTACACAACCCGGTGGCTGGGCAGTAGTCTGCTTCACTCTGAATGGAACCACTCTTTGAGCCTAGCACGGCCACGAGGACCGTGCACCTCGTGCCCCCCAGCAACAATTTGGTCTTCTGGAGCCCGCAAGGGAAGCGGAGTTACACAAGTAGGCACTCTGGTCAACATTCACATCAAGCGCAGCTACATCGAGGATATCACACAACCAACACATAATTCGAAGGAAAATAAATGCGCAAAATTGACACGGAATATGTAACAGAATAACAGAACAAAACAAATCAAATAAAGTGGTATAACTTTTATCCAGATTAAAATGATCTGATTGAAGTGTAAGTCGGTTTAGCCCAACTGCGATGAAGAAGCAGCATGTATGCAACATCAATCGCAGCATGAGACAATACAACCATACACGTTCTTACCCACATGCACCCATACAGACTTGACACTTAACGGTAGGGAAGCTAACTGGACTCCACACAAAGTGTAACAGGTGTCAGCGAAATCTTTGTATATCAACCGGTCAAGTGGGGGAAATTGCACCAAGTACAAATCAGATAGCACAGGACCGTCCATAATCTTTTCGGTTACAATTCTGAGAATAAAACAGAACAGTCCCAGAGGGCGGTAAGTACTGTGGGTAATGAAGGAGACAACTTCCAGAAAGACATTAATGGACCTTGGGAGTAGTGGCAGAGGAAGGGTTTTCAACAGTGGAAAGCACACGCATCGAAAACGGATAATGACCACGACGTTCAAGAGAGACAGCTTGGAGGGCATGGAATCGCTCCCAGGTAATCGACTTCTAGTGATGGAGTATGCCGAAGATATTTACCTAATGTGTGACAGCTCACGAACTTACCATCATCATCATCATCATCATCATCGTAAGTGCGTTGAATAGACAGTTCGACTATGGGACAACAGCAAACGCGTCGGCTACCAGCCAAGCATAAGATGGATTAGGCAGAGGACTCCACAGTCCGCAAGATCAAACTAACACTGTGCAGTTCGTTTAGCCGTCAGTGAGTTCATCTCCGGCTACTAAGTCAAGGACTCCACTTCTGGTGTACTAAGTCATCCTAGAGTAAACGAGCAAAGCACAGCGCCCTGTCGTGGCCATACGTCGATTGTGCATAAGCCGACACAACCTGCTCAGTAGATTTTATTGATCTAACAACGACTTAACCAACACTGTCCAGTGCTCGCCTGCATCTCTGATCGTTAGGGACATCGGTGCTAACCGACATGAGTAACGCTAGCAGACAACAGTGATCGGAACCTTGGAAACAATTCAAGTCCTCAAATGGAAGGGGCCGTCTCGCCATCACGCACCGAGAAACGTCCTTCAACGCGGTTCTACCATAAATCAAGGTAAACTTGGTGGACCAGAGCTCGGATTGACAAGTATATCCACAGATCAGGTAAGTATCATCATCACAAATAAGGCAGTTACAAGACGCAAATCGAAGGAAACGAGAAGTACCTCTACGTTTCGTCACCGGGCACAAATGACAAGCATAGGAACCACCGGAGTTGGGTCCATCATAGTGCGCATCACCGTCGAGATTAGCCAACGGATTGCTCTGTATGACAGAACTGTGCTTGCGGCCAATGTGGACCAAATAACCGAGACGTTTGGTGGTCCTGAAACGGCATCCGGGTTGGGGGCATGTGATCCAATGGGGTTTAGAGCTCGGGTGGGACGATGGAACCGGTTTTATTGCATCTGACACAGTAGACGTAAATGTGTCTGACGGTTTGAGCAGAGAAAGTGCACCAGCGGCTGCCAGTGGTCCTAACACGGGGGTCGAAGTGGAGCGCGATTCCGAGACTTGAAAGTGGGAAAGAAGAGAAAAAAAGAATTGTAAATTAATCAGCGGCACAAGGTACGCGGCGTTTGTGACAATTACCAATAAGATAGATGTGTCTTATTCACAAGTTCTCAAATGGCTCAGGCTAAGTAAACTCAATGTGGAAAGGACGACTGTGAAAACTGGACTGGATATCGCCTTTCGATCGAAGACCGTAACACACAATACGTTGTAATAGATTTAACTGAAAACTTTCAATTTGTTCTCGTATCTAAGCATTTAACTGTGAATTAAGAAACAGCATGTGCAGAAAGCAAATGAAGTAAAAAATACTAGCGGATCATTAGAATTATGAAAATTTTGTAAAAACCTGCCAGGTGTCCCAACCTTATCCCAACGACTCAGTCTCCATTAGTAGCGACTAGCTTCTCTTTCTCCCATAAGTAAAAACATTGCCTGCAGCGCGCCTGCTTCAACTTTTTTATACTATGTTACAACTAGTAGTTTGTTCGATATACAGGAGACGCTAAGCTGCAGGCAATCAGCCGTAGCGAGGAACCAGGTAACATACGCATCGGTTTCTGCCAAACAAACACTAGAAATAGCACCAGTAACCTTGGTGGCCGGAGTAGAGAAAACTAGTGTCGCTGCACTGTTGGCCTCTATCAGTGCTGTTCACAAATTCACCAAAAGCACCGGAAAATAAGGCTCCAAAACTAGCAGCCACCAGGCGCAACCATGGTGCCTTAAACATTGTGTGCACTAAGGTCCCCGAATCCAAATTCAATACAATTAAAGGTAGGCTGACAGACGATCGAAATCAATGGCGTTCCATCTGTGCGGCGATAGGTGTCTATGCTGATCCCACGGCAATAAAACGCATCTCGCGTTACCCAAACGTAATGCACTACGGTGAACTCCGGTAACTCTGGGTAATACTAAACTCGGAGGATGAGACAGAGGCCGTTCTGCTGTCTGCGAATCGACTCTGCAACGCCTCAAGTGGAGTGCGCATATTACCTGAAATCTCGTGGAAGGAAAGTTCAGCGGATCACACTAACAGAGAGACGAACAGAAAGTAAAGAAAACTGTGACTGCTCATGGTATTCCAGAGCTTAGTGATTCCACTTTCGACGATGCTCAGGTACACGACCGGGAGCAGTGGCACTACATACGTGAAGCTCATACTCTCGAAAAGGTCAAGGCCACCTCGTTGACAAGCACCCCCGTGTCACTGAACTATAAGGAGTGCGGTCCAGGACTGTCGAAACTGGTGTTGCAATCAAAACTAACGGCACAAACTCTGCTAGAGAACTGGACTGAATTTCGTAGGTTATCAATAGAAATTCGCCTGAAAGCAGGAGGAACAACACCAGATTCTAATAACAATTCAGTGGAGGCGCAACTCAATGAAAACCAACTGTAGGACCCGCCTCGGTGATGGTACCAACAGCATGCGGGAGGAACACAGCAGAGCACGAGCGAACACCGGGATCCGGGACACCAGATAGTTGAACAGATGCCAAATTCGTCTCGAGATTCTGTAACGCATCCAAGAAACGATTAGCCTCCGACTCGTCTTGGGTCGGCGTAAACTAGCTACATAAATCACATTCAATACACTTTTGGTCTACAAAGAAACTGATGTACTTGACTTCATTTCGTGCAGCCTCCGGTTGAGATGGAATGATCTTAGCCTAGTGGCTGTTGTTTACCGCCCACCATCGTCTACACCTGAGATAGACTGCAATTTGGTGGCTGCGTTGAGGCAGAAGACAAACAGGAAGTAGAGTCACATGCTAATCGCCGGCGATCTTAACTTACATGCTCTGAAATTCCGGGCCACGCCAGGAGAGCAATTTAAAGCCGACCAGCAAGATCTTGACTCAGACTTTCCGCTTTGTGACCACGCCACTTCGCCCCCCAGATTCAGAGGAAACAACAAGCCATCCATATTGGACCGAATAGTCACTACTGAGGAACTGATGATCGAGAGAGTGATAATCGATACTCCTCTTGGCCGCAGTGATCATGCGATTTTGCGTTTCATGCACACTTTCTATGCTGGATATCCCGAGGACCGCACTCAAATGACGCGAAGCATGACCGGTTACGACACCTTAACCCGACTGGTTGAAGCGATTGAGTGGAATTTTTTAACCGAGGATGCGCCCAATGGTGCTTTGGAACGTTTCGCCAGTAAGTTCAACAGCTTGGGCATCGGAAATCAAGACATGGCGTCGTTTATACGGAGTAGGACACGCAAACGAATGGTAATACGCAAAGCGGCATGGTATACCCACAAAACCGATCCGAGTACCTGGAAAGCATATGTTGGCCACCGTAATCACAGTACCCAATTAGTACGCGAGGGCAAAGTAGATTATAAACAAGCTTTAGCCGAGCGATTAACTTTAAACTCTAAGTCTCGATATAAGCACATGAACAGCCACCGCAAGGGGAAAAGTGGATTTCTCCCTCCTCAAACAGCGGATGGTCAAACGCGGACTGCTAAAGAAGCGTCGAATGTTCTGCAACAACAATAAACATTCCGTGGTCTCCTGAATCTTTGAAATCCATGGTGCCCACACCAGAACTCACGCGTATAAACGTTACGGCAGACGAGAAAGCTGCTATTCATGCGCCTGCACGCCTGTCCAGGAAATGATGACATCTGTCCAGAGACGCTTGCAGTGACGGCTAATATTTTGGAAGCACCTTTGGAGTGGCTGTTCCAGCACTGTCTTGATGAGCGGCATGTTCCTGCAATGTGGCAACACGGAATAATAACTCCCATTTACAAAGGGGGTAGTCGCTCTGACCCAGCTTATTAGCGACCAGTGACTTCTGCCAGTTCTTTCAAAAGTTATGGAGGCTATCATTACCGACGCACTCATGTCTTATCTGGATGGCTATGGTTACACTGCCCAGCAGCAACACGGCTTTCACCAGAATCAATCACGTGCAACCAATCTATTGTTAGCAAGAGACAAGTGGACCGAAACGGTGGATGCTGGTGCAGGAGTTGATGCGGCTTACCTTGATTTCGACCGGTTGGAGGATCATATCCTTCTCGCCAAACTTCAAGGATGTGGCATTGGGGACCCTCTCCTCGGGTGGATCTGCAATTTTCTCTCGCACAGGCGTCTAGAGGTGAGAGTACGTGGATCCATGTCAGATCCAAGTAACGTCGAATGCGGAGTGTCACAGGGTGCAGGTATTAGGGCACCGTCTATTCTTGGTCTTCATAAACGATCAAGTAAGTCAAATCGAGTCAAACTGTTTACTCTACGCCAATGACATCAAAGTTTGGCGAGTGATCCGAGCACCAGAAGATCGTATCCGGCTTCAAAACGACCTTGACAAGATTCACGAATGATCGGTCCAAAATTTCTTGTTTTGCAATGTGGCTAAATGTCGAATGCTCCATTCAGGACACCGAATAATTCACACTTATAAGCTGCGGGACCACGATCGGTAACATCGTTCTCTTGAAAAGGATCTCGGTGTGTTGGTCCAGGAAGATCTCGGCTGCTTGGAGTAGTCCAAAAAGACGTCGAATCAGGGGATCCAACTAGTGGGGCTTTTACGGAGAGCTTTCAGCCAAATCGAACCGTCGATTTTCCGCCAAACACATCCCGCTTACGTACGCTCTCATGTTGAATGTGCAATTCAAGTATGGCACCCATGGCTGAAGCGGGATCTCACGGCTTTGGAGATTCCACAACGTTGGGCAACCAAAAATGTCATCTGAACAGCGCCACAGAGTGCTTCGCATTTTCAGTGGACGTTATCGGCGTTTGCGTGGTGATCATGGCTTACACTAATCACCCGTACCATCACCTGTTGAAGCTGAGTCACAATAATCAACTGCGAGGTCAACACAAATTGGCGGAACAATATAGTCGATTGGAGTGTCAAAGAAACTTCTCGTTGTGTGTTTGCCACAAGCGGAATACCCTCTCAGAAGCGGTTATTTCAGACCCCACGTTAGCCGTGCTCAAAGCACGTGTTAACAGTGCACTGGCCATACTACACCATATCACGTAATCCAAAAGACCTAGACAAAAAGCAGAAAAACAAACCAACCCGCCTTCATTTTTGCCTAGAAACCACAGACGACAACCTTGGACAGTACATAAAACCAAGTGTGAACTGCTCAGACAAGAATGCTGTAGTCGACAAGTTCGCGATTTGTGTTTGTTCACTATTTCCTATTGCTATTTTTCCTTTTATTTTACTCAGCGATCATCCGGCGGGGCATGTTAAGCCTCGGCTTTTCTTCTCCGCAACATGCCATTGACAAGAGGTAAGTATTCGCCGGATAGTTATTAGCCTGAGATGCGTTGCCTCATGCTAAGTTGTGAAGCAAAATGGAATAAGTGATCAGAAGTAAGACGCGTAATAGCACCCAGTTGCCGACATCGTAATGTAACACCAGGCTCGTATTCATCAGGGCTCCAGAGAGAGTTGGCATGGGTGAAAAATATGGCCTGTCGATGGCAGCAACAACAGAATCAAGAGCTCAATGCACTTGTTGGAAATGCAAGAAGCAACGTGATGTGTGACTTAACCGCACAGGCGCCTTAAGCTAAGTTTTAGTTGCAATTCAATCGCGGACAAGCAAGATGCAACCAACGCTGGTAACAACAACACCAATAGTAAAACTCAAGAAAATGGAAGATGAAACGAGAAATTTCTTTAAAAATTCAAAATGAGAAAATCAAGACGCAATTTGTGGGATGAAGTCAACACTCATGCACGCTCATCAATCACAGAAAATGCAACCAATGATAGGCACAAGGGAAGCAATGTCATTTAAAAACGATTGATGTAGAAGTGGTAGCTGAATGATGCGCCCTGTGATAACACGATTACTTTCATGTCAATATCAATCGGTATTTTACGCAAAGCGGTGAGTGCTCGTGATCGATAATGACCCCTACAAGATGTTTGAAAAAGTGAAGTTTTTGACTGTACACGAGGACCGTGAGTGATGCATCAGAGTTGACTTGGTGACCCATGTTTAGTTAATGCGCAGTGATTTAGACAGTTTGGTGATACCCATTCGGTGTGTGTAGAATACTGAAAGTAAAAACATAACACCTAAAATGACACTGCTGTAATATGTGTACACCAAGCCACACATGAGCCATGGCCCGACAGGCAGTGGCTCGTGATAACCAATCAGAAACAAGTAGGGGACAGGTGGCCGGAAGCACTGGCAACGCATAACATATACCTGTATTCAAGACGGTAGCATATATGGATAGCTTTCGTGTGAGGCAAGCAGACTCACCGTCCAAGTCTGCGTCCATAACAAGTACAGAATTGTGCTGAACACTTGGGGGAGCGCCTGAGCTGGCGGAAGGAGACCTTTGAGATGAATGGCGCAGCCGAATGTGCCGATTGAGATCATGTTGCAATTTGCATTGATAATTACAGTAATCGCAAACGAAAGGCTTGTCCGTGGTGTGTCGAAAAAGCATGTGCCTATCAAGAGCTGTAAAGAGTGGTAGGGACATCAAAGGTGGTAAATTTAATTACTCAAATAATTGGGTGACTGGATAATCAAACAACAATAAAAAAAGATTAAAACAACAAAAAGAAAATCGGTGGGGAGGTTAAGATACAGAAGTCGATTCGACCACACAGCTCGCTTGGTGGTGAATGCACCGAGTGCACATTTAAATTCAGCCGAGCACGACGCGCTGGTTAATAGTGGAGCTGGTAACTACTTCGGCGCATGACAGTGGTAATGAGGAGAAAAATAACACCAATATGGCTAATAATGAAAGATTTATTTAAAAAATCCAAATAAAACTAGAGGTTGAATGGAGAAATCAGAAGTAAGGACATTTACCGAACTATCAGACCATATCAAGTGGGAGTGTTTTTTCTAGTAGTCGACAAGTAACAACCTCATTGAAACCCATGGTCCTATGATACATGCAAGTTTGTCGGATCGTTGTCCACAAGGCACCCCGAAGATTCGCAAACTTAAGGACCGTATGAACAAACACAACGGACGCATTGGTCGGTGAGCTTGCAAGGAACATGACATAGCCGGTGAAGAACACGGTCACGGCTCGATAGAGAATCAAGAGAGCAGCATAGAACGCCTGTTAGCAAATATGAATGACGGAGGTTACCAATGAATACTGTGGCGTTCTCAAACACTAATAACCACAAATGATCAGTCGCTTGAGGTCCAAAGGGCACAATAACCATGTCCAGGTTACAACACTGGTCTCTCAAGAATGCAATGCGAATTGTTTTGTGCAAGCTTTCAAGCCAAAAATGCGAGTTTCTTGTTATGATCTACCTCTGCCTGAACTCGTTCACTGCTAGCTTCGAACCCCAGCCGAAAATCAGGACTCAACACTTGGAGGCAAAAGCGTGTTGCAGAACAAGCTTCCGAACGTATACAAGTAAAAATTAACGGGTATTATTATAAGTCATTCAAAGGAAGGTTCACGTATCAGAACAGCTACGTCAGCTGTCCTGAATGGTAGATTAGTTCAGCTATCCAATGAGGAGGTAGGTGTGTCGTATGGAACCGAACGTTCCTGAAAGCACTTGATGTTTCTCTTGTACACCATTGGCTCAATTTGTTTTCCCATTGAATTATTGAGTTTTCCCTAGGAAATTTTACTCCCCCTGAGATCTCCACTCTGGAGATCGCGACTGCAGCGTAGGATGATAGATTTGGGTTGACTTGCAGTCCTGTAGATGGTGCTCTCCGTCTATCAGTCCATTGCTTGGGTTGAGGTGCCTTTGGATTTAACTATGAACTATCGAATGCATTGCTTAATTGACTGTGACCCTCGCTGTCTAGTTTCGGTAAGTTAAAATGATCCATATGGAGGTCGAAAGGCAGCTTGACTGCCATCCTCGATTCTGGCCGGCACAGCGTTTGGCGTAACTGATTTGCATGGCGGATCCAGGTTTGCGATGCAACGAGCACATCATAAATGACGTCTTCACGTTTACGTTCGATTTCACTTGGAGTCCATGCTGCATGGCTTTTCCGATAGTCGCGTGCGAGCACTGAATCTCCGAGTTTGAATGAGTGTTGCCTTGCGCCATGCCGCCGATTGAATTTATGTACCGTTTACCGGTTCCTACCTCCATTGAGGACTGAGGAAATGGTTGAAGTGTATGGGATGATTTGCGGAGCAGTTTGCTCATCGCTTCTGCCGGGGACACCGTTCGGTGCTTGAGGCATCGGCATATAGCGGTTAGAAATCTGGTTCAGTGGGAAATCAAAGAGTCATAACCTCTCGATCCAGTCGATTCCGAGGAGGTTTAGATTCGGTCAATCCGTCAGGTAGCATGTTCCGGTCTTTTCCACCAACTGATGCCAAGTTCGAAGTGAGGGACCATTCCTCTTGATCAATACATCGCTTGGCCACCCCTCCACTTTTTCCCTCCACACCGCCGGTGCGTAAACAACACATGTAGCGAGAGTCGGTGAAATGGCATGTGCAACACGTGGCCCAGCCATTGGAGCCGGGTGCGTGATACAACGGTGCTGAGCGGTTCACTGGCAATTCCTGCACCAAGTATGCAGCCCCGAACACATTCATTGCTCACGCGGTGCCCCCACTAGACATAAACTAAGCTGCGAAGGCACCGATAATCGAACGTAACGAACCTCTTTATGTCTGTCAAATTGACGGGTCAGGTTTCACAACCCTATAGGAGGATTATAAACATGGCTGCATTGTAAACTCTGCCCTTCATAACGAGATTAATGTCCCCTCGGCCTCACATATAGTGAAGATTAACAAGTGCATGGAGCTTTAGCTATACGGTTCGTGATCTCATTTTCTGTTCAACTAGAGCTGGGATAATTGCCCAGATACTTCCCAAGGACTTCTAGATGATTTATCAGAAACCCCCAGCTGACACCACGGGGATGTTGTTCGGCAAGCCAGCCAGCCAGTCGAGAAGTGCAGTATTTTTGAGGGTGGGCAGCATCCATTACCCATTTGCTTCATCAGTTACGGTCCCCGTGATGGATTTGACCAAGGTTCACTTCAATGCTAATCCTGACTCACGTGAAAGCGCGTCGAAATCCATTCACACACCACAAGTTTTCTTAAACAAGACCACTTGCGCATGGGTTTCCTCCGCAAAAACCACAGCCATTGCTCGGATGTTATACGTAGCCTCCTCCTCCAATCACGACCTCAATTATTGGGGATAATATGATTAGTTTTGCGGCACAATAGAAGGCGATTAGCTCTCCGGAACGATGTCCACGCGTTACTGGTGAATCAACCGGCGTGCCACCGTTTCCAGTTTTCCATTCTTCTTTTGCATTGCGGCACAATAGCTGAAGTGTTTTCCACCTGCAGCTAACATGTATAATGATTAATGATGATGTATACTTAGGGACTAGGATGCATGCGGTACACCGTATATATGCCGTCATTAATCATGGGCAGTGGAACACTAGCCCATCAGTCTACAAAACTTGATGTGGATTCACGTCTACTGGTGGGGAGATCTTCACCTCTGCTGGGGCAGCAACTGGCATGACGGTGGAGGTTAAGCAATATCGCAGAGAGAGAGAGAGTTGTGGAGACGTCTCAAGCACCTAACAACTGGATCACAGCACTCTATACATAGTGCACAACAATTTCTGGAGAGGATCAAAGATGTAAGAGTAAATCATGACGAGATAGTGGTATCGTTCGACGTGATCGCACTCTACGTCTGTCAACTTACAGACCGCAAAACCAGCAATCACCGAACGGCTGGACCAAAGTGAAAAAACAATCGGAAAGCTGACGACTGGAAATCTGTGCAAGCTACTTGACCTATGCCTCGCGACCTACTTCGCCTTTGATGGACAGATCTATGAGCAGGTGAAAGGAGCCCCAATGGGATCCCCTGTGTCAGGACTCGTTGCAGAAATAGTAATGCAGAAACTTGAAGAGGATGTACTGCCGATAATCAGCCCAAAGTTGTGGATCCGATAAGTCGATGATACATTCGTGATACTAAAACGTAGTCAAGTAGCGGCTGCATACGAATTGCTCAATAACACCATGGAGGACATCCATTTTACGATGGAATCGGAGATAAAAGACCAGCTCCCATTTTTGGATGTGTTAGTCACCCGGACGATTGATGGAGCGTTGCAAACATCGGTTTACAGGAAAGGAACACACACCGATCAGATTCTAAAACTACTACAGTAATCACCCGAAATGTCACAAAATAAGCTGCGTGCGGACTCTCTTTCGTAGAATTGAAACACATTGCAGCACTCTTGAGGCGAAGAAGAAAGAAGAGCTATACTTATTCAAATCATTCCAACTAAATGGATATCCACGCAGCTTTGTCCGGCGATGTCTAAACAACAAAGCTACGACCTCTCCGCCTGCACAAACGACAACAAAGCGAATCGTTCTACCTTATGTAAAGAACATCTCCGAGATGACAGCAAGATTATTCAAACAGCACGGTCTTACAGTGGCTCACAAACCATAGTCACTACATAAAGTCACTTCCGTTGCTTCACTCTGATGGGGCATTTAGGTGCCCCGACTCCCACGTTGACTCCATATGAAACTCTCGCGGGAAAGTGTCACAACAGATGTATGTATGCACTGACAACAGTCTAACGAACATACATGGCCGGCGGCATCTGCTTCCGGAGTTGCCTGTCACTGCGGCTTCCATAGGACAACCACAGGACGCCTGCGGCTACAGAGAGACCATGGGTGGCTTGCGTTGCATCACTCACAGCTCCATCCACACACCTTATATCCAGTGCAAACCCGAAGGAATAAGACCGGGACGCAGGTGGATAAGAGCCAAGTTTTATCAACGGAGCCGGCCCACAATCCTTCACAGGCAAACACAAGCACGCTGTAGTTGCAGAATCAAGCACACACAATGCGGTGGCTGAACCGTAGTCCGCTCCCAAACGAGTGCATGGAACCACCCTTCGAGTCTAGCGTGGCCACGAGGACCGTGCACTCCGTCCCGTTCAGCAACAACCAACTATCTCCTGGAGCCAGTATGGCCGAGGTTGTGGCGAATAGACATATAGGCACCTTCTCAACATGCACATCAAACACAGCCACACCGAGGTAACGAATAGACATAGAGCCAAACAAAACCACGGAAATCTTAGGAATAATACAGGTTTAATCTTCACATCATCATTATGTCGCATTAGCTGAAAGTGAGCAACACACTTCAACTATTGTGCTGGAAGAACAACGGAACTGCTTTCGTTAGTTTTCCAAACGCCATTTTTGTCGCTTTCAATTGTTAGGCATTAAACACTTGAATCTAAACATGTGTGTACAGAAATCTTCCACTGATTTCGACTACGTGCCATATCCTGCACTGCTTCCAGCTATCCGCACTCTTTGTCCTTTAGTCCCAAACCAGACAGGCGTGTAGATATAACGGCAGAAAAACGTCAAGTGAACGGCTAACCACTGCGCGCTCTCTTCCACCTAAGCACTGCACAAGTTAAAAG